CCCCCCCCAGTTTTCCAGAGAGTAAAAGGAAAGGAGGAAAGAAATACTTCCAGACTTGCAAGATTCTGTTAAGATAACCTTCCAATAAAGACAGGACTACAATTCGTGGTTGTGCGTCTCTGTCTGGGTGACCTCAAAGGGCTAACAAGGTCTGACCATGTTCAGCCAACCAAAGGATCTAAAGCTAAAGATCTAACCGTGGCCGCCACACAGCATTGTTGGGAAAGCGTCCTCCCTGTGGTTCGTTCCTTGCTCAGGTCATACCCGTTCAGAGTGAAAAAAAAAATGATTTAGTGCACAAGCCAAGAGCTTTGAGTGCAGCTGGCCCCGTGCAAGGGGTGCAACACCCTTTTATATCAGGTGTAAATGAGTTTGTGCATTCTAGAATTCTCAAGTTTAACTTTCCAAATTACCTATGGCCTGATTTCTCCCTTTCTAATTGGGACACCTTATCTCTGTTGCTGAAAGGGTTTCTTCTCATTCCTTTCTTATCTGCCTATGCGACCTTCTCGCTCCTATCATGGTGAAACACTAACTAAAGTGGTGTTAGTTCAGCTTCTAATAACTACTTTCCAACAGCATGCAAAGCTTGGATAATATCCATCTTGATTAACGTGCATGTGTATGTGCGTCTTATGTCTTACGGCGTTGTCCAGGCGGACCCTCTTTGACCAATTGGTAGTCCAGTGGGTTGTGCAAACCTAGAAAATGGCTTAATGCAGGAACCAGGTTAAGCAACTTTTGTGAATGTAGGCAATAGAAGGTCATCTCCACGTTGTCTGCCCTGGATGGATGTCTCATTCTCAAGGCTATGCTGCGTTTGAGTATGTTTAGTTGTCCCGGTTGTTGTTTTTGGACAGCAACTCCCATCGTCCCAGTCACTCTGGATTTTACCTGCAGTGGGGAGAATGGAATTTGTGATCCATTAGAGTGTAAGAAACTGATACTCAGTTCCCGATGAAAGCAACTCCCCTTGAAACCGATGCAGGTTCAAAGAAGAGTTCATTTATTGAGAAGTAGTGTACAGATCTAAGGCATTGCTGAAACTAACGCCCACACACGCCAAAAGTTGATTTTACCCTTTCCCATTTCTCCTCCTCCCTTTTGTCTCTGATGCTCTCTTGCGCATGTCACCGGTTCTCTCCTTGTCTCACGCTGGTACAGCCTTGGGCATTCCTGAGAACCAGATAATGGTCCATCTGTGTCTAATGGTTCACCTACTAGCCTTTCCCCCACCCCCTTTTACTAATGGCAGAAACGAAGCAAGCAAACTAGCAGGACGGTTGCTTGATTGCGAGGATCCTAACATAGAGTTGGAAAAGATTAGGCATCCATGGTCAAATGATATGAATCCCTAGGTGAACAGAAGTTGACCCAACCTTTAGATGGTACAATGTGAAACACATCACGCTTGACTAGATATCTATTGTTTATGTGCATCTATTTACTTATTCAAAATAAGAAAGTAGTGAATAGGGAGCTGCAGAAAATAAAGCAGCCTTTCAGTCAGTACTGTGCTGTCCAAAATGACAGCTTCCAAAAGTTTCCTGTATCCAGCTAAGGGAATTTCTAGTCGAATCCTTCTTTGCAGAACTCAGAAATATTCTCATGACTCCTTGAATGCACTGCGTGTTGGAGATCTCCCCACAGAATAATATTCATGCCTGGAGATTTTGATGGCCATTCCAAAACTTTTATGGAAAGAAAATTTGTGGAAAATGCTGTTTTTCTCCATTTGAGTGTATATAACTACCTGTTGTATATCTATATGAGTACTTGTGAGTGATGTACAGTTGTGTATTGGCCTGAACATACCTAATGGTCAGATCAGACCTGGTTAATGTTTGAACAGGAAGTCATGAGGAGCTCACAAGGTTGTAGGCTAGACTGGGAATTTGAGAAAATATGACAGTGGTATATCATTTGCATGCTGTTGCCAAGAAAATTATATGGCTGTATCATTACAGAACGCACTACAGAGATCTTGCTAGCATGTTCTCTGCTTTCAGTTATGCAGGGCCATGAGCTAATGTGGACCACAGAAGTAGTTATTTTGAAAATGAGAACTTAAGGATGGAGGGAGAGAAGATATGTGGATTTTAAACCTTATTTTGTTGAAGAAGGTACATTAATATATTGCTTTTCGTGTTATTTGTAGCTACCAACATCTCTTCTTCTAGAGCTTATTATAGTTTTTCTCCCTCCCTCTCAGTGGAGTCATCCATTCAACTCTAGGAGGATTCAGGACATGAAATGTTGCCCCCCGCTTCCCCCTCCTTATATAACCAGACCCCGGAACTAGATGCCTTGTCAGATAGAGTGCTGACCATCTTTTTAACTGGTTTAAAAGCAACTGAACAGAGGTACGGTATGAAGGATAAAGCTACTTATTGTTCCTAGTTTTAATAGGTGTATAGCAGAGTTTCTCAACCTTGGCAACTTTAAGGTGGGCTTCAACTTCCCATGCTGGGGAATTCAGGGAGTTGAAGTCCACACATCTTAAAGCTGCCAGGCTTAAGAAATATTAATGTTAAGTATCATCAGAGTCCAAGGCAGAATGTCATATATATCAGGTGCTAGAGTTGTGCTTGATTGAATTCCTTGTTGAACTTTGGGTTCCTAAGCCTGAGAAGCCCAAACACAATTAATCATGGAGCAAATTGTTTACTATATAGGTAACCAGGCAAAGGACTAGTTATCTGCTTTGTCTAACATTATACTTTTCTTTCAAAAGAAAATATATCCACGCTTCTATAGCACGATATTGCTTAAAAGTCCCAATTTGAAGAAGCAGCTATTTCTCAAGACAGCAGTAATATCACTGATGAGTTGGAAGCAGCAAAGGTATTCCCAATGGAGAACCAGAATACTACAAAGGTACTTTCTGAGTGTTCTAATACACAACGCAACTTGTATTTGGGGCATGGAAACTTGACCAATAGTATGAAGAAGATGGACTCTCTCTTCACAAGAAGTTCATCAGGTGCTCCAGTAGCAAATGTGTGTACAAGCACTGTTATCTCCGAGAGTGTGAACACTGTGAGAAGCACACTGATGAACAATCACTCTGGCACCATGAATGATACAAATGATTTGACTTCTGCCAAGAGGAAATCCGAAGTGAAAATGAACATTGAAATTGCAAACAGCCAAGTGACACCGTCTAGAGACTTTTCTGACAGTACTGCAGCTGATTATGGAATTACACCAGAGTTTTTTACAAAACAATGCAAAGGTAAGGATTATGGCCATCAGGGATGCTTGGGGAGAGTACCATTAAGCAGGTGGCATTCTGAAGAATGGTATCTTCAGAATTTATCTCTGCCATGCAACAGGATAAGAATCCCAATAGAAGAGAATATACGTAGCTTAGGGTTGAACTGTGGAGTCTTTGGTGCTCTCTGAGCTTGGTTGTTCGCTTGACATTTCATTACCCAACTAGGTAACATCATCAGTGCAAGTGAGCATGGGGTTTGCTCCCTGTTAATATATAGTAGCTTGCCCTGCCAGTTTCGCTGGGGGTATAGTTTCCTCCTTGGTAGTTCCTTGATTAGGGTTTTCTGCTTGATTGTTTGTCTGGTGCTGATCCCTGCTTATTTGAATGTGGGCCGCCTGAGGGGATGTGTTGTAGTCTTTTTGTTTCCTTCCTAAGTTTGTTATTGTCTCTTTTGAATGGTGTGTGAATGTGGTTTGTCTTTATGTGTCTATTGATGGCTGATTTGTCTGAATGCCAAGCTTCCAGGAATTCCCTAGCCTTTTTGGATTTGGTCTAAGATGCTAATAGTTTCCCAGCTGAAACTCTGGTTGAGTCTGTCCATATGTTGTGAGAAACTCCTTAATCTCACTGGCAGGGCAAGTTACTGAAACATCTGCAAGCAAACACCTAAGCTCAGAGAGCACCAAGACCTCCACAGAATAAGGATTGGCTGAAGTAGGAGAAGAGCAACTGTTCCTGAATGTGCCCTTGTGGTGTGTTAACACCTATCATCCCCAGAAGAAGCAGAGTGCTAAAGGTTTTCCCTTACTGAAAGCAGGTTTTCAAATTGCTAGTACAGTTTAGGTAAAAATACCTAATAGATATTTAACAAACTTAGGCTATGTTTGGATGTTTCTTTTTTATCTTTGTTGGATGTTTCTTATGGCCTGCCATTGTTTTAGAGGAATCCAAGAATATATTAAAAAAATTCAGACGACGGTCTACAATTGGGGCACGAGGTTCTCCAGAAAATAATTCTCTCATCCAATATATTGCTCAACAAAGGAGAATGAAGACACGAGAAACTTTGTTGCAAGTAAGTGCAGTGGAACTCAGAATATGAGCATTAAATCACTGTATTTTTCAGTAGTGTGCAAAATGTTTCAGGTCAAAATGACCCAAGTTTAGGGTTACCAGATCTGGGATGCAACACTCCAGATGACTTCTAGATGGCAGCAAAAGGGAATAGATTTTTGTAGCCCAGGTCCGGTAACTCTATCCAAGTTGGAGCAAGTCACTTGGATGTTAGAACATTTCCAGGTCCTGTTGAAAAAGTTAGTTTGGCTATTTTGACTAAATGTTTTGAAAACCTAGGTTTACAAAGAAGTGTTGATTCATTTCTGAAGTCTAAGGATGTGCTGAGAAGATAATGCTTTGAAGACCCAACTGCTGACTTTAATAGCTATTTTGGAGTTTTGATTAAGAAAGAGTTCCGTTTTTGGTGGATCACTAAACTTTCTGCTTGCCACTGGGTGGCGATGGTGTATTTTCTTCCATGCAGGAGGTCTTCTCTTTTCCAAGTAGGTGTTGACAGGAGTAATCCCTTGTTGCTCTGGAACTGAGAGGCGTTTCAGAAGTCCTGAAGTATCTAACTGCATTTTAAGCTTCACTGGCTGGATTTGGGTTTTGCATCATTTTATATAGGGAGCATGGTTGGCAAAGCCATAAGTTGGATTGTTCAGTTTTTCCTTAGGATAGCATATGGATTCAAGAGTAGTGGTTTGTATATCATAGTTCATAACTTACTGTTGTGTATGAACCCAGCAAAATGTAGCTTGCTCAACCAACAATTGTTTAAAATCTGTCTCCCATACATGTAGAAGTACAGTAAAATGCATTTATAAATATAAAGTAGGCTTTGAGTAAGTAATAACATGACATACTGAAATCAAAACTTAAATATTCAGATTGCTTGTGTGTATTGCAAACTTGTATATGGTTCAACATAAGGAAATTAATTTGGAGACTTTTCAAGTTTGCTGTGACATGGGGAGATAGGGAAAAGGAAAAAACGGTTCTGTCATATGCCCTGTTTGAAACTGTTGAAATTTCCTTGTATTTTGAGCAGTCCAGTCCTTTTCAACATCAGAACACGTTGCTGAAGGACAAAATAGCTGCCTTCCAATCTTCATTTAAATCCCTTGAAGAAACTGAAGAAAAAGCCATCCATATTCACACTACTTGTAAGTAACCTACATCTAACCTCAGTTCTAATATGCATTTTACTATTAAACAATATATGTTAAAGAAGTGCGGTACAAGTTTTTTTAATGTTTTGGCCAAGACCTTTTTTTCTGGCTTAAATTATGATTTG